ACACACACACACACACACACACACACACACACGTAGATGTAACCAACCGTCTTATTAAATAAGAAACACAGAACCAGTGCAAAGAAGAAAGCCAAGAGATCAGAGCTAAGAGCCTTACCTGCCTGCTGCAGCTAGCCTCTTCAGCCAAGAGAGAGACCTACTTCCTGTGTGTTTGTCTTCATATAGACTTTCTGCTCTGCCTTCTCATTGGTTGTAAAGCCAACCACATGACCACCTTGTCACTGCCTGTCTGTACAGACCTCCAGGTCTTCTATGGTTGGTATTGAGATTAAAGGCATGTGTCTCCAATTCTGGCTGTATCCTTGACCACACAGAGATCTACCTAGCTCTGCCTACCAAGTGCTGGGATTAAAGGCGTGCACCACAAACCCCCAGCTCCGCTATGGCTTACTATTATCTCTGACCCCTAGGCAACTTTATTTATTAACATACAAATAAAATCACATTTCAGTAAAAATAAAATATCACCACACACACACACACACACACACACACACACACACACACACACACACAAATAAAAAACAAATTCCAACCTCCTGACTAATGGAAAGTTACCCAAGCCCAGGTCCAACCAGACCAAAGGCTTGTTTTTTGGTTTGTTGAAAGGCAGCATGAATCTTTTAATCAGCACTGTTTACATCTCTGCAACTTCCTTTCTCTTTCAAAGGAAGCTTTTACCTGTGATGTTCCCACCTCTGCCTCCTGTTTTGTTTCTATTATCACCGAGGTGGAAGCTCCCTCCAACTAGTATCATAAGCATGCTTTGATCAAAGAGTAATCAAGTCCTTAAAAAGGAGCGTGGAGTTTGAGAAAAGAAAGCAGGCATTCCATTTTGAGTCCTCAAGCTATATACCAATCTTGGAGTGTTAGCGGTCACTTTAAAACCCATTTCTTACTTGCAAATGGCAGCGAAGTTAGGCAATAATGGAGATTTCTTGCAAACCTTTAGATACAAGGCCTATCTGAGATCTTCCACTTTATAAACTGTGGCTCATTCCCTAATACATTTACTGGGCACTGTTTCATGTCATTTAAATTTGGAAAACAATGCTCACAGCGGAGGACTCATTCCCTCGGCAGGGAAGGCCAGTACAGGAGTGACGTCACACTGCATCTGTACTTGTGGGGCAGGGGAGGAAGTGGTCAACGCTCAGCTGGCTTCCTTCTGTTTTCTCTTTTCTTCAGTCTAGGACTCCAGCACACCAGATGCTGCTGCCCACATTAACCCCAGGGTTTTCTCTTCTCATTAAAGCTCCCTGGAAACACCCTCACAGCTGCTGCCAAAGGTGTGTCTCCTAAGTGATTTCAAATCCAGCCACGCTGACATGGAAGATGAACCATCACAGACAGTTCATGACCCATAGATTTGATGAGGACACCTTGAAGTGTGTGAATGAAACAAAGCCACAAGAGATAAGTTGTTGATCAGGAGTTATTGATAGACATTTTTGTCTATGGTGGATGTTAGAAATTTCTGATACATCTCTTTCACTTCTGGCTGCCTTTCAACAAAGCCAGAGAAATAACATTTAAAGCACGCCACTGGCTGTGCCTTTGTGGTTCAGGATTTGATGGGAGGGCCCTGGAAATAGTTCACTGCCATGGGTCACAGGCTTGCATTTTCAGCTTCCCTAAGCTGCTGAAGACTGTGGGACAGGACACTCACCTGGAAGAACTCTAGCATAATACCCAGAGCAGCACTGGTGATCTGGCTGTGCCTCATGGATTCGGCCCCCACAACAAATGCCAGTGGAATTCGGAAGAAATGCAATGTATTTCTCTTCACAGCATCTGTATCCAGGCTGAGGGTCATAGAGAAGTCCATCACAACAAACCTGAAAGTTTGAAATCGGTTTTAAAGAAATATTTTAAAAAATAAGCCATTTTACATTTAAAAATAAATATATCCACTTAATTAAGAATGCTGCATCTCACAGAGCATAATTATCTTCTGAAAAAACCTTGAAAGGTGGCCATATTACCTACAGATGTAAAAATGTATTCTTCAGCATTATACAAATTCCATAAATGTCAGTTGATACAGCTCAGCTTACCTTCCTGTGGCCATGTGTTGTGTACCCTAATAGAATTTGCCTGAAGATCAGAGAACAAAACAAGCCACTAGATTAAACATAGATGCCAGGCAATGGTGGCACACACCTTTAACCCTAGCACTTGGGAGGCAGAGATCCGTCTGGATCTCTGTGAGTTCAAAGCCACCCTGGACTACATGAGATTGACTCAGTCTAGGAGAGAAACAGAGCCAGGCAGTGATGGCACACACCTTTAATCCTAATACTTGGGAGTCACACTCCTTTTATCCCAATACTTGGGAGTCACATGCCTTTAGTCTCAGCACTAGGAAGGAAGTGATATGGTTGGGCAGGGAAAGGTATATAAGGTATATAAGATGTGAGAAGACAGGAACTAAGGCTTTTCCACTGAAGCCTCTTTGGGCTGACCCTTTGACTGAGCCCTTTCGGTTGAGGATTCACAGGCATGCAAACAGAGAAGTCATGGAGTTGGTAAGGTAAGAAGTGGCTGTGGTTTGTTCCTTTGTTTCTCTGATCTTTCAGCATTTATCCCAATATCTGGTTCTGGGATTTTTTTTTTATTAAAAGACCATTTAAGATTCATGCAACACATTCCCCTCTTCAACTAAGCTTTGCTTTGTGTTATAACATTATGTAACTGAAAATGTAAATTACCTTTAGACTGCCAATGCTTCTAATATAAAGTTACTTAAAATTGTAAAAGAACCATTTCCTTCACACACACACACACACACACACACACACACACACACACACACACACACCTTTATTCTCACGATTACTTAACTTGAAAACATCACACCAATGCAAACTACTTCTTACTCATCCTTTTTGTTAAATAGATTGAATTTTCCTTATAATGTATATGATCATTTATTTATGAATCCCATTTTTCCAATAAGGCAATCTCCTCTCTCTCTTTTCTTTTCTCCCTCTCTGCATATCTACACACATATGTATATAAACACATATCTACACACCTATGCAAACATACATCACAGCAAACGTATACTAGGGACTACTACAACACAGAAAGAAATTTATATGGAAGCTAATTTTGAAAAGTCCTTTTCACTGTGTTTTTGCCAGGAGCTAGCTGCAGAAAAAAATTATACGCTTGAACAATCAAGTACGGCTTTGTATCTTTATGCTTCATATAAGACAAATCAAACCCTGAGTGGAGGCTGGGAAGTGGCTCAGAACGTGGACTTGTGAGGAGTCCCTTCGGTTAGACAGACTCTTCCCATGGCAGACCAAATCAACACTGTTTCCCGGGAACTGCCCACTTCCCTCTGAGATGCCTCCACGTTGGGAGTGGCTAGAGCAGAGACTGAAACATGGCCTAAGTCTTCCACGGTCCCCCTCACTCAGACGCTCATCTACAAAGTTATCTAAGGGCGCAGAAGTGCTCTCCAATCCAGCCACCAGGGCAGCTTCCCTAAACAAACAGTAACACCTTTCTGTTGGTGGATTTAGTTGTTAGCCATGAGTATTGAAGAGCAGTCTCACTGTAAGCATAAACTGGATGACTCTTCCTTTCAATGCCATATTCTGCATAAAGAGTATGCAAAGTTATGTACCATGCTTACCAGTGCTGAGAGGACGCTTTTGTTTTTTAAACAATTTCTAAAGTTTTCATCAAAAGCACTCAATATCAACTCTATGTACAAAAAAAATACTAGACAAGATACCATTGTATTTCTAAAAGTTCTGCATTTTAAGTAGCAGATATTTTATATTAAAAAACAAGTTCCCATCATGACCTTTCCATGCACATATGCACACTCATGTATAGACCACACACATACATATACACACCCATACACACAATTAAATTAAAGCATAATAATTTTAGAGATATAAAAATTTTAAGGTTGCCAAGTGGCTGGCTTTCTGTGTCTCTTACATAGTAACTACCACCAAGCGAGTGGCAGCCATAATAATTTGTATTTCGATCCATATTGCTTCAGAAACTCACTTTATTAATTCTGGAGTTCCTTTCTAGTGAATCTTATGGATTTAGGAGTAGCCTTAGTCATCAAATGTGCAATGCAACTGATAAATAGGACATTATTTCATTAGATGAAATCTTACCTTCAAATCAAGTAGTTTTCTCTGTTGTTTGTCAATAAAAGCCATTTACAAAACCCTCTGTCTGGCTGTATTATTGATCTGATTCCTAAACAGCAACTAATATGAACATTAATCTACAAATGACCATAATTCTAAAATATTTCTGACACACCAGGAGCAGGCCTGTTCATGGCAATGTATCAGAGTTGTGGGGAAAAAAACCCAGCCATCTGTAGCTGAATGAATTTGTATAATGAAAACTTTGAGTCCCTCAAGATGATACTAATTTAGGGGGTCCTTATTGTCCTAATAAACCCATATTTTCTGAAAAGATGATGAAAAGTATGAAGGCTAAAATGCTCAGAAGGTCAGTAGGACTTTGATAGGCATACTTTATTCTCTCTGTGATCTTCATAGCATAACATGACAAACATTTATCATAATAGAGCACAGTGTAGGGGCATGGGTTTACATTAGTACATGTGAAAAGATCTACCTTAGTTTCCGGAGAATAGCAAGTCTGCCCACAGATATTTTCAGGGTGTTGACACTTGACCGCCTTGCATAGCTCATCACTGTGTCCCTCTGTTAACTTCTGGGTTTCATGGCATAGATGCCATGTTTTCCGTAAAAGGTCATATCCGAGAATGATACCATTTGGATTTCCTGGTGTCATCCAATCTATTTGAAGGGATCTGCAACAGATAAAAATATACATATACATGTACATGTAAATACACACAGATGTATATACAGACATGTATGTGTGTGTGTGCTTGTGTATGGTGTGTGTGTGTGTGCTTGTATATGTGTGTGTGAGATCTGCTTCATAACTACATGTATGTAGCACCACTCCAGGCTGGAATCAACACCACTAAAAAGACAACCATACAACTGCTGTCAACCTTATTCACTCAATCTTCCAGATTGGTCAGACAGCCTTATTTCATGAACAATTCTCTGCTCATGAGTGTGTACTAACACACTTAATATATGCTGATGCATATGCTAATATACTTGTACACTCATAGCCACGCCTGTCATTCAGCATGTTTTAAGACTCAATCCGAACTGTTTTAGTTTGGGGAGAAGAATAGTTGGCAGGTGCCCAGAGGTCTCCCACTTGAAGTTTCAAAGGCAAAAAGCAAACATCCCTGTGAGGAGTCAAGAGGACCCACAGGCCATCAGCGTTGCTGAAGAAAAGCTCAAGGAAGAAGCCTTGGTAAAGAGCAAAAGCTGGAGTATGGCAGACATAACCTCTTCTCTGTACACCTTCTCCTTTACAAAACCAGAGGCAGATGACATGATATCAGGCTGGCCAAAGATGTATCTGCAAGGTAACTGTGAAACCTATGGGCAATGTCCACTTCCTGGACTTGGCTGTCAGCTTCTCCTTCTTTGCTGTAGGATGCCTTCAGTAATGCCTGTGCTGGTCTGAGAAAGCCTGTGAAAATCACAAAGAGCAGCACAGAATCTGGGGTCTCTGAGACAATGTCATCCCCTGTCTGTCTGGATCTGACTATATAAATCTCTATGATTGGTTCTTAAACCTGCAGTCAAAATCTACTCCCAAACTGAGAAAATCTTCAACATCACTAACTTCTTCTATATAGTTCCTGACATTTCTTTGCATTTGAATCACCGCTAAGTAGATTTGTTTCTTTGGTAACTCTCTTGCTCATACATGGTTTGAGGCCAGAAGTCTAGGAATTGGAGAACATTTGATTTTTAAAAATTGGAGGAACCACTTCATTTTATGCTTTTGGGGGCTGGTATACAAAGAGTGTGTAACGGTTGATCAAACTTTCCTGCCTTCTCAGTGATATGTTAAGATTACATTTGTGGTGAATGAGACCAGAGAAGCAAAGCTGCCCAACAGAAAGGAAATGAAATCATAATGCCCAGTGGCTCACATCTGTCACCCCAGGACTGGGGAAGTTGAGGTGGGAGGATAGCCATGAGTTTAAGGCCAGTCTAGGTTGTCTCAAAACATAAAACAACAGAAAAAGATCCATAATCAGATTAATACTGTAGAATCTGCCTGCATTCTATGTACATGGTGTCTCTGCAGGTTCTCAATAAGCAGAAGTAGTTAAAAGTTTGAAACAAGGCACTAGAGGGCTCACATAGTTTTGAGGCAAAGCATGGCGTGCTATGCCTCCTCTATGAAAATGACTAGGTGATTTGTGACCACTGTTTTTGAAAAATGAGTGGAATTCTGACATGAACACTAATTCCCATTTTGCTATTCTAGAGTCTCTGGCGGGATGTTTAGCCAGTCACAAACAACTGCAGGGTGATTTTCCACACAGAGAATGTTCTAGAAGTACATGAATCAAAGCAAGGCATGAATCTGGGCCTATGTCTCAAGACATTGTTTCTAATTTGATTGTGTTTGTGTTGGGAGCATGTGTACCAAGGCATATGTGTGGCGGTCAGAAGACAACTATTCTCCTTCTCCCAGGGTCCTGGGCAGCAAACTTAGGTCATGAGGCTTGGCAGCAAGTACCTTTACCCACTAACCACTTCCCTGGCCCAACGTTAAGTCTTAATCATCAAAGTTTCACATTAACTTACATTGGAACATTATTTTTCTGTCACTGTGTACTAATATTTTAAATTATTTTTCATTTTGGATCTGATCAGCATTCTCAGTGACATCACTTTCAGAAATCCAATTAAGCACAAACACTTACCTGAAAAGGCAGCAGTCAAGATAAACCCTGACATTTTAATAGACTGATTAAATTATCATTTCATTTTCTAGAAAGATACATACAGAACAGAGAGGAAGCTAACATCACCATTCAAGGGATTCACAGGCTAATACAGCCATTGCTATTTGTCCAGTGATCCAACTTTCAAATCAGCTCTACAGTCTGCAGATACTGCATCCATATTTACTACAGAAATGAATTATAGCAATCACTATGCCCTCTGCATGTGAGTGGGGGGGTATACATGCACATGTGTGCATACATATGTAGAGACCAGAGGTCAACCTCAGGTGTCATTTGCTCAGGAGCTGCTTGCCTTCAAGTCATGGTATGTCACTGGACCTGAGGCTCACTGACCAGGCTAGGCCGGCTGGTCAGTAAGCCCCATGGCTACCTGCCTGGCTCCTTACGTGGGTGCCGATAATCCAACTCATGGCCTCATGCTGATGCAGTAAGCACTTACCAGCTGAGCTATCTCCTAGTCCTAGAACACTACTTCAAGTGACAGTCAAGGGTCTGACGGGTCAGGGAATGAAGTTCACAGTGTCTTTAATAGTCTGATAAAAGCCACCATGGGCACACACATGCAAGAACACAAATCACAGGGGGTCAGACATTCCAGCTGGACATTTCTTTTTAATTCTGTCATTTGATAATTATTATTCAATTTCACTATAGTGCATAATGATACGTCTATCCTTATAAAAGCCATCCCTTCGGATAACACAGAAGCTAGGAAGCAGTGGGAATACAGTTTCTTGTCTTTACACAGGTAGATGCTGAAATACTGTGAGTCAGGATGCTGTAGGAGGAGTTGGGTTTCACAGCAACACTTTATTACTATATTCTAATATTTTATCACCATTTGTCAAAATATCTTATTTGAACCACAGGGGGAAAAAATTTTAAGCTCCCAAGACCTCAGACTAAACTGTTACAGATTAAACAGCTTTGGAGTTCTGGTTCTTCTAAGAGAGGTCTTAAAAAAAGGTGGATATTGTTTTATTACTCATTCAGGCAGCATTCACACTCCTCAATAATATTCTAGACTATGTTATCAAAAATGGTGAGAATACTTTAAATATAAAATAAAATACATGTGTTTTGATTAAATGTTAACTTTTGATTTTTGAGAATTTTTTGAGTATTTAGATTGATTTTAAATATTCAAAAATATTGATTATTTAACTACCCTATTTGGATGTTTATTAAAAACTGCATCAAGTGAAAGAAAAAGACAAAAAAACCCCATACACACACACCAGGTGAATTGTGAAATAACAGAGTCAAGTGTTTTTATGTTTTCCTTTTTCAAGACAGGCTTTCTCTGTGTAGCCCTGACTGTCCTGGAACTCACTCTGTAGACCGGGCTGGCCTTGAACTCACAGAAATCCAACTGCCTCTGCGTCCTGAGTGCTGGGATTAAAGGCGTGTGCCTCCACAGCCGACAAGTGTATTCATTTTTAAAAGCATATAACCAAGGCCACTCAAAGAAGGCATCATGGGAGACATGGGTGTGAACATGAATAGATGGTTAAGATGGCAGAGGGAATTCTGGGAAGGACCAGTACAGAAGTAAGAGGATCTGCCTGGCTCTGCCTCCTGAGTGCTGGGATTAAAGGCATACACCACCACCTGGCCCACCACGTTTTAATACAAAAAGAGAGTTATGGAGGCCCCCCAACACCACACCGACAGTTTGAGAGTGAAACAGCGCAACTGTTAGTGTTACTACTTCTAAAAACAAGCAGTCCCTGAGAGTCGATAACCGGGCTGAACAGAGCAGCTGAAACCAGGAACGGCAAGGAGCATGAATGGGCCTCAGCGGTGTGACAGTGAGTGGAGTTCACATTTCTTCCTTTAGGAATTTCAGTTATTGCTCCAGAGGTGATTGCCAGGCGATGGGTTTATCTGTTTGAGAGTTACTTCAAAGGCAACATCAAGGTTCTGAAAAGTTCTGAGGCCACCACCAGCCCATCATCCTAACCAACCCAAAATAAACAGAATCTGGGGAGTTTTTCAAAGTCCACACTTTAATGAATACTTACTAAATACCTAATGCAAAAGCAGGCGTCAATCTATCTTTATCATCGAAGGAGACAGGTAATGTCCCTTTGATCATTAAACTTACATTTTGCTGGAGGGCGATGAGCAGTAAACAACATGAGAATAACTAATACCTCAAGTCATAGTTTGAGGAGGCCTGGCTCTTCTGTGCAGAAACACAGACTAAGGATGAAACAAAGTGAGGGCGTCAATGAGTGATCCAGGCTGTAAGTTATCCATGTGCTTGATGTGGAACAGAGGGTCAAAGAATCCAGCAGCCTTGGAGTGCGCTGAACAGAGACAGGATGTTAGAAAATAAGACACAGTGGCTGCTGGGAGGCTGGGATGGAGCTTGCCAACTGTGTGGGATTTCATGGGCTAGGAAAATAAATTTGGATTTGGTTTTGAGTGTGTTGGATAACCACTGGACATTTCTGAGCCAAGATAGGAAAGGGAAGTTATTTACCTAGTATCCCTACTCCTTACCCTCCCACACACATTCCCTAGGTTCTGGAAACGGGCCCCAAGTACATCATGCAGAGAAAGTGAGAGCAGAGAAATTGGCAGTCGCTGCCTCTCATGGTTTGTGTCTGAAGGATGGAAGTATCCAAGACTGATCTGCTATTGCTAGGAGGTCCTGGGGATATCTGAATCAGGCCAGCAATGTGGCTGAGCAGATGAAGTCTCTTCCACCAACCTGGATTTGATCTCTGGAACTCACATGTTAGAAGAGAGAACTTACTCTGGCGAGTTGTGCTTTGGTCTCCACGTGTGTGCCATGGCAGGTATACACTCAGTCTCCATCATACAAAATAAAGTGAAAACATAATTGAAAAAGGAGTTTAAGTGGAGTTACCCTACAACGGGGTGGGGTGCTTCTCCTGGACACATAGGCTAACAAAAGCCCACTGCCAAATACAGGTTACCTCTTT